GTGTCAATTATGTAAAATAACACACTGTTGGTTTTGTAAACAACAACTAAATCAACTTTTAGTTACTTTTAGTATTAAAAATTAGATTTGTACAATGAAACGATATACGATTACAAAAAATAAACATAATTAGATTCAGATATAATTCAATAAATCTAAAAATAAGTAGTAAATTAATAGTTCATACCAGGAGATTGTGTTTACAAGTTACTTTCGTTTCCTTGGAAACTGGTACAGTACAGAATATAATTTACATAAAGCGCTGACACCCACTTTTAACAGATCTGAGCTGTAACAGTCTATCGGTTGAAAACTTTAGACAGGGTGGGCGCACCTTCCAAAAAACAGTTATTGTAGCGTAGGGTGCGAAATCAGAGAGGGCGTCCCGTCCTTCGTCGAAGAGTTAACGGTACAATAATAATGTGCATGTAAAAGTAAATACAAGTGACTTGCACATAAATTGTACCGCAAAACACGTGAAAAACATCCTAGTGTAGACACTACTACAAAGCAAAATAGATGTACCAGTTGCGGGGAAGCCACGTAAGGGTAGCTCGCGTATCACTGAAAAGTGTCACCAGGATCTGAATGACATTGACAATACCGATCCGATTGGGAGACATTTGCGATTCTCTTCGCATCTCGCCTTGGATACGGTACAGGACTACGAAAAATCAGTAAAGATATGGGTCATTATAGTGTTACTGACACGGTTAGAGGAATATACATACCATCTTTCTCTGTGTTGAGTCTTGCAATGGAGATACAGAATACGACTACAGCGTAGCACTCCGCTATTTCGATATTGTTTGTTCAAACTGACATGCGCTGGGTCACCAAGTTACCCGGATGAAAAGGTTCACACAGGTCAGCCACCGAACAGTTGAGCATCTGCGCTATATTCGATGTCGTCATATTTGGAAATTATTGTTTTTTTCTCCAAAATAAATGAAGTTCAAAAATGAACATAAGTTAATTTGAGAAAGCGCGTGATAATGTTGCCAAATAAATAACTTACCTTGTTATTTTTTGAGAGGGGAGAGGGGATCAGAAAATAATGTTATACCCCTCTTATATTATAAACGTTTTATGGTAGAGTGACTAGAATGCGATTAAAGCAAAGCTTTAATAACTTTGCAAAAATAATTATTCGAGAAACGACTAAAACTAGTTTCCGTAAGACATTTCAGTATACCACAATCCGAAAGGTTAGGGGTCATATAGAATTATTTAATTATAGCGTTCGTTTATTTTTAATTTATAAAATAATTATTGTCAAGAGTTTACAACACCGATAATTTTTATAAAATATGCGAATATGTGAACGTCAAATAAAACATTTTGCGGTCACGAACATCCGGGTTCTTTTATTTTTCATTCGTTCACAAATCCAATATGGCTGCCCCAGGTAAGAGCAACACGTTTTTGCATCAATGTTTCCAGATCGAAAATCACGCCCATTTACCTGATCATTTCAAAACAAATTGTCTGTAGGCTTTTTGTAAATGTATGGTTTAACATATCTTCGGTTTTTCTCGCTGATTGTCTGAGTATGGGACGAAATATTGCCCAGGAAATTATGAATGGGTACGTTCTGGTGAATCTAGCGTGGCAAGATCAGTAAAAAATGTGTGGCGATTGTCGATAATTCGCCTGCCATATGCTCACAACATTTAAACATCGAAATGAGCAAATGGTGAATTCCTTTCACCAAGCGTGTAATGATCATACGACGACACACACATTATACAACACTACACAAATGTAAAAATATTAGAGCACATGAGAATTCGTAGGGAGAGTTTTGTTTTGTTATTAATTGAGACGGTAATATTGAAAGTGAATCTTCATAATCGTTATATTCGATTTGACTGCCGTAATGTGATTAATAAATTACAACTGTTGTATGTATTCTGCGAATACACAGTGGCATACTGTCCACTACATTTACTGTCTATCATTCTTGTATATCATTCTAGAAATCACCATCATCAGTCATATTCATCAGTGATCATTTCAAAGCACAGTTATACATGTAGCACGGACATCTTCTCAGATTTATACCATCTCTGATTCAGTCTCATGTTTTTCCCACATTGTTTATTCATTAATCTCATAACAGAGGGACCTCTATAGACCAATTTTAAAATGGACTTAGTGTCTTTGAAACAAACCGGACTCATTGCAGAGAAATGAATGAATCACATCCTTTTTGAAATGAATGGGAATCACTACCAAGGCAGTAGTTCTGCATATCACTAATACTGCACTAAACATGCCACTGCATGCACAAATAGTTTGTAATACCATTTGTAATACATCGTCCAAAGTTGTAATCAGCAATACTAGAATCCTGTGATGTCTGGTATGAGTCTTTTGACTAAATAGAGCAGCCGTGCTGTTACTCTGAGCGATCAATTTGCCGTCCTCGGTTGTATACTGAATTTTCACATGGCCTTGTGACATCCCTTGATAAGTTTGGCATAACTCTGTCTATAGGTGTTTTGCAGCTTTTCACGTAAAGTCCAACCTGAATCTGAATCATTTAAAAATGATCACTATAGATTTTGTTGAACTCAAATTTGGCAGATTTCCACGGAACTTACATGTTGTATTATGTTGATATACATGTCACACGATTTGAATATGTCCGGGTAATTCAAACAACGTCTCATAATATTCACCCACCATGTGGTCCTACTTTGGATTTTCCATCTCAAGATGACATGCGTTGTCGCATACGACTTATTTACCACTTCCGTGTCACAGAGAATGTTCTAGAACCGTACTGTGTCTGGGTGGAATATTCTAGATTTTTTTTGAAACTGTTTGAATAGGTAATAGAACACTGTAGGAGGCAATAGAAGGTAATGGAAC